GGCCCATGGGTTCTACCTTAGACACACGGAACTATTATCAAATGATCTGCTATTCAGGCTGGTCGTTGCGCTTGCTTAGACCTCTCGACGTTTGCGATTTTAAGGGAGTTCAGCTTGACCCTTGGGCTTTGGTTCTGAGGGGCTCTAAACAACTGGAGGGGGAAGCACGAGCTCCGTTCCTGGTGACTTGGCCACCTGGAACCCTAAAACCTAAACTGCCCTGTGCCACCCAGCATATATAGTGCCTCAACCCCAAAATGAACATTAAAGCTTCAGTTTCTATGACTGTTCGATGTACAACCACATCTCAGTGTCTCAACTCGGAATCTGCCCTACCCACCAGCACAAGCGCAAGCGTGGGAGTTGGCGGGTGAAACATGCAGGACGTCACGTGCCTGCGCAAACGCAAATTGCCGGAGGCTGTCGTGACTGTGGGCACCAAGTGCGAGCAAGGACGAATGTCTTCTGAGAGAATACGAAGAGCACTATCAGCGGAGAAAACAGGAGATCCGTCAGGTTCCTGCCAATCGCACGAATCTACCATCGGGGTCCCATGGAGGACGAGTCCATGTCGAGGCTACGTACCCATCTTGGGACAACCTCCGATCCGATCCTGGGGGGCTTTGCCTTGAGCAACCCAACCCAGCAAAGCATGCAAAGGCTCAGTTGAGCTCGTGCTTTAGGGTATAAAGTGTACCAGTCAATTTTCAAGGCCCTAGGTTTTGGAGTTAGGGCTCGTGACTCTAGTGTTTTAGGCTCAAGATCTAAATTTTAAACAGAATTGAGGGGTTACACTTGATGCCCTCACACTTACGTGTAGCACCCTGGGGTTGACGCATCGGATCTAGCACTTGGGCTTCAAGAGCAGGCTCTCTGGAAGAAGAAAACAATAACTAGAGGGGTTTAGGGTTTAGGGTTTAGGGTTTAGGGTTTAGGGTTCGAGGGGTTTAGGCGTAGGAAATGTGGATATCAAGTTCAAAAGATGCCCAGACAAAACATCTGCTTCACGCGCAAAAACAAGGGGCCCGTTTTCCTGCACCTCAGTCTTTACAGGGAGACCCCGAAAGAAAGACGGTGTACGGGTACTAATTATCGGGGACAAAGTGACAAACCAGAGCACACTGCTACCGGAACCATCCAGAGACGGGTGCATCTCGAATTACTTGGGAGTCGGGGTTTCGAGTTTACGAGTTTAGGGTTTAGGGTTTAGCGAGTGCTATCACTTTCGTTCTGTTTGGGCCACGGTCTAACCTTGAAGCAGTCAACCCAAACCCCCCCAAAGCTTCAAAACCCAAACCTCTGACTGTGGACTCCCGTAACCCTAAAGCCAAAGGCGTGCGACCCGAAACCCTCACACCGGAAAGGGGCTTTTGGGTTCCTGACATACCGAGCCTTACACCACTGCCCGGAGGGCCGAGTTGCCGGATCCTTGTGCCGACGGTATATCGCTCTGGGTGGTGTTCAAAATCGCGCGAATCTTCAGGATGACATGAACTCTCGAAGAGTATGGCCGGTTCTTGGGGCTTGACTTCACTCTACATGATACAGACTTTAGTGACTACAGACAATTGAATAAGAAGAACGGCGGCCCACCGTCACGGGTCACTTGGTCCTGCGAGCAAGAGGGAGGAGCTGCTGTGGCTACGGAGAAAAGATCATCTCTGCCTCACCAAAGCCAAGCCCAAACAAAGAGACCACGATGGCTTTGGAGATGTTAGTCTCGGTCTGCTTTACACAAACTTCTGAAATAAACACCTCCTGAATCTGAGCTGTTCATGGGGTAACGGCACAGGAGAGCTGACTGCATGACCATCAATGAATCAATGAAGCTGCCGGAACTCAAGGCCCCTGTGAACATGATCATCATGTAGGAACCTGATTAAGAAACCCTGGGTCCTTATCAGGGTTCTTTATATGAATCCTATTACTCTGGGGTTATGGGGCCAGGGTTTCTGAATCAGGTTCCTACATTACCCATGCAGAGCTTCTGCTGTTCGGGGCTTTGCCAACGAAGCGGCTCGTGTCATCCGTAAACCCCTCAGCGTTTTAAGCCGTAAGCACGAAAGCCTTAAAGGCTTGACCCGTACTTGCGCTGGGATGGTTCAGGATCGTGGATCCGGCTGATTGGTCTGGAGTCCAACGTTGCGGTTGGCTTGTCGGGCTTTTATAGTTGCTGATTTTGTTTATGATGGAGTAACTATTATGGTCTGATGGGATCTGGGGCCCAACAAAAAAACCTGAAAGAGTGTGAGTCCCGCAACAAGAAGCTTGCACACGGAAAACTTGGGGCCTCTTCCGCACTTTCAGCCCTCGATGTCGATGAAGCCGGCACACGCCTCGAGACTGAAAGACGGGTGCGGGGAGGGTTTGCTGCACCAAAGCTTTGAGGACCGGGTGCGGAAATAGACTGGAAAAGAAACTACTCAGAAACCCGGCAAGCCTAGGCTGACACACAACCAACGTCCAACGCCCAAGACTAGGGAAGCTTCAAGAATGCTGCTGCTGAGCATTCGGGCCCCTAGACGATCGGGCCCCGTAGCCGATATGGCTTCGGATCTGCGGAGGAGGGCAGTCGGGATCCTTACTTAAAGGATCATGGGACTTAGTGAGTAGGGTTAGAACTAAGGAAACTATACTTATAACCCCAATTAGGGGGCTTATAACCTTACTTACTAAGTCCCATGATCCTCTAAACCCTAAACCCTAAACCCATGATCCTTGAAGTGGGGCTTATAGGGCTTTCACAGGGCTTCCAGAGCCTGGGTAGCGGGTCTCAGGTGCAAGCGAGCTGCCGTCCGAATCCTGGAGGCAGCTTGAGGTTTAGGGTTTAAGGGTTTAGGGGTTTAGGGCGTAGCGCGACGAATAGAAAAACACCGTTGTCGTCGTAACAAAGGCCGCAGTAGCAAGAATTACACCACCATTCGCGAACTTGACAAGCTGCGATCACGGCTCTTTTGCACTATATACCTTCGGCTGCCGACCCCGAAACAGAATCGCAGAGGCCTGGAACTTAAAACTCTCTTCTCTCTGCCGTGAACATACCCTTTTGCAGCGGGCTTGCCCTAAACCCTGATCCCAACCTTTCAAGCTTCAACCCTCTCTCCTTCCGTCGGCCGCGTGACGCAAGACGCAGCAGTTTCGCTCTGCACGCATACAGGAATCTGAGGCACTTAGAACGACCGAACCTACATGGCGAGCCCGATCACCTTGAACGTCTTCAATGCTAAGGCAAGGCATAGTTGGCATAGTTTGTAAGTTTGCCTGTGTGCATGCGCGCATGCCATCTGCTGCGTCACGAGCCGTACCTCGATAGGAGGGAAAAGGAGCACAGCAACTGCCCCAACCCCACTAACGTGCCTTTTGTCGCTCCTACCGAATAGTCATCATTAACAACACTTCATGGCAATCGTAGCCACAAGACATATACTGTCATTACATTAAGGTAATCATATGGGGGTTTCCGAAAATAGGGGACCCTAATATAGTACCCTAAATAAGGGATCCTTATTATAAGGACCCCAAAATAAGGTACCCTAATTTTCGGAAACTCCCATACTAACTCTGTTCAAAAAAAAAACAAACGCAGAGGATCGTCCAGTACCGGCCTGAGGTCTCGCATCCGCGGCGGAGGAGCTGGGTCCTCTTCCGTCTGTGCCTGTTCGGCCTGGAGCTCAGGTCTCAGGTTTAGGGTTTAGGGTTTAGGGTTTAGGGTTTAGGGTTTAGGGTTTAGGGTTTAGGGTTTAGGGTTTAGGGCTTGGGGGCGTTGCGCGGTTTAGGTGTGGGAGTGCGAGGGTTTGGGTTTGGGTTTGGGCTTTGAGGTTTTTTTCTCACCCGCCCAGCTGACAATGTCGCACCGCGGTTTAGGCCTTTGGGGGGCTTTGGGATTAGCATTTAGGGGTGGGGGCTTCTCTTCTCGCTTGGTTGTTCTTCTAGGGTGTTTAACTGGGATTCAGTGTGGGCTTGAGCTCAGCTGACGAGGCTTGGGCCTGTCGTTCAATGCAGGGCTCGGGGATTCAAGAGGATTGACCGGGAGCTCTTGGGGGTTAGTTGCGGCTTGTGGGGGCCATGGAAAGTCCTCGAGGGTTCTTTGCCGCTTGCTGTACGTCTCAGAGGGCGGGCAAAGGGCGGCCCAACCTACCCCATGCCTCACTGAGAAAATCACAAGTCGGAAGCCCTATGAATCCTATCATAACACCTAAGCCCTTGAAGATTTTCAGAGCCGGCACACCTTCATGAAGTCGGCCAAGGTTGCAGAAGGGCCGAGTAAGGCTTTCTGCCACTGCCTGCGCCCGACCAGTTAGGCTGTAGGATCCAGAGCTCAGTGCTCTTCTAAGGATCAATAGAAAGCAGCCCCCCCCCCACCCACACACAACAAAAAAAAGCTCGGGACCTCCAAGAAGGTCGGGCTTCGGTTTCGAACGTATCGGTCCGGAAAGCCGTTTCCCGCTGGGCGTTCGGCCAGCTTCATATGGGGTTGAGGCATGTCGGGGCTTCGATGAAGGGCTCACGAGAGGGTAGGGTAGGGTCTCTGGATTTGGGAGTTTCCGAAAATTGGGGGGTACCTTATTTTGGGGTCCTGATAATAAGGATCCTAATATTTAGGGTACTATATTAGGGTCCCCTATTTTCGGAAACCCCCATTTATGGCTCCGACTTAGGATTCACAAAACCGGGAGCCCTAGTCGAAGCATGTCGAAGCCTAAACCCTAAACCCAAAACCCTAAACCCTAAACCCTAAACCCTAAACCCTAAACCCTAGACTCTACAGTCTTGGGGCTCTTCGGGCTCTTCGTTAAGAGGTCGACGGCATCCTAAGATAGTTTCGGCTGCTCCGGCACAGGGCCCATTTTAGGGTTTAGGGTTTAGGGTTTAGGGTTTAGGGTTTAGGGTTTAATGAGGCTTGGGGTTCTGAACTCTCTCACGGTCAGGGGTTTCGACTCTCACTCTCGCGCAAGGCAGAAAAGGCTCCACAGGGGGCTTAGGTTTAGGGCAGAGTTCAGGCTCTTTGCTGCAGCCACTCGTAAAGGGACGCCTGAACCCTACGTCCGACACACTGCTAAGGAAACCCCAAACCTCCAATCCCAGAATAGGGTGTTGGGGGTTCCTTCTAATAATTATACCATATTACACCCCAAAACCTATTCTGATTATTATAAGGATTCGACCTGCTGAAATTCTGAGCCCTTCAGCAGCCCGCGCTGTCTGACGCTGAGCCCCTAACTCCAAGTCCCTCTCGCGCCTTTCACCCCAACAACCCCAGAACCCTGAACCGAACCCTAGACCCGAAGCGGCAGAAGTCCTAAACTTGACCTTTAAATGGGTGAAATGGGGGTTTCCGAGAATAGGGGACCCTAATATAGTACCCTAAATAATAGGATCCCTATTTTCAGGACCCCAAAATAAGTTACCCTAATTTTCTGAAACTCCCAAATATCAAAACACAACCCAAAAGTCAACTCAAACGGGCTCAAGCAGACCTCGTCTTCTTCGGGGCGGCTGCCAACTTCCTCAGTAGGGTTCAGGCTTGCTTCTCCGATCCCACTTTTGGGAAGCTCTGGGGATTCTTCAGTAGCTTTGAGGCCGTAGGGGGGCCTACGCCCATTTAATCCCTCTCGCATTGCAGAGCCCATCTACCCAATAGGGTTTGGGGCGTAAGCCCACAAAGATCTCGCGCACCCAGCGGCGTGTTCGCCCGCTGCAGCGCCTTGTGCAGTTGGTCGAAACGCCGGTCCGAAGACCTGCAGCCATGACTTCGAGGCCCAGCGGCTCTTAGGGTTTAGGGTTTAGGGTTTAGGGTTTAGGACGGGTCTGTACGGGTTTTATACGGCTTTGTGCGTTGACGCCGTGCGGCTCACGGATTTTCGGATTCAGGCTGTCGGGTTTCAGGCTCGCGATCGTGAAGTTTATGCATAGCCTGGTATCTTTCGCAAGCCCCCAAAACCCAAAAGCCAAAGCCCAGAACTCCAAGAGCTATCATATCAGAAAAACCATCCCCCCGCCCCCAACACAGCTCGTCTAACAACTCCCCTGAAGCCTAAAACCCTCACCCATAAGCCAGTCTAGCTCTGCTCAGATCCTAAACCCTCATGCGCTAAACCACCCAAAAGACTACAACGCCGTCAACACTCAAAGCAAGCCCCAAAAAAACAAATGCTCTGAAGGAACCCTGAAAAGGGAGCCTATACAGGAAAACTGATTCTGAAGCTGCCCTTAAACCCCAAAACCCTAAGCCCTAAACCTTAAACCCTGAACCCTAATTCCCGGAACCCTAAACTCTGACCCCTAAACCCCAAACTCCCAAAACCCCTATAAACCCTGGCGCCGCCTGCTCTGAAGCTCCGCAGCGATGGGACTCCAGCTCCGTGGGTCCACGGTGACCGCATCCCGCGGGCGCCTCGGCTTGGGGCGTAGGACTGGGCTGTTCCGGCAGCCTTAGGGTTTAGGGTTTATAGGGTTTATAGGGTTTATAAGGTTTATAGGGTTTAGAGGGTTTTTCGGGTTTATAGGGTTTATAGGGTTTAGAGGGTTTAGAGGGTTTAGAGGGTTTAGAGGGTTTATAGGGTTTAGAGGGCTTATAGGGTTTATAGGGTTTAAAGGGTTTATAGGGTTTATAGGGTTTATAGGGTTTAGAGGGTTTAGAGGTTTAGGGTTTAGGGTTTACGGTTTATAGGGTTTTGAGGTTTAGAGGTTTCGACACACACACACACACTCGCACAAAGCTGGCATGGCAAGAGAAGGTCCTGTTAAGAGGTTTAGGATTTAGGGTTTGCGAAGCACTGCTTGTGTGCCTTCTTGGGGTTGGGCAATAATAGTGCCATAGTGGGTTGGGGGAAGAAAAGTATAGGTTCAAAGATAGTGGCTGAACCTGGGAGCCTGACCTCCTTCGACCACTTCAGTGCGCAACCCCGAGGCTTCACGTGCAGAAGGATGTCATCTCTTCCTTATCGGACACTTCCTGCGAACACTCCATTTTGCAACAAAAAATACAGTTTCAATAGGCCCCCCACCCTAACCCCGCTACCCGAATGCCCAAGGCTGAACCCAACACCCCGGTGAGTTCTCTCCACCTCCTGCGCCTTTAGGCCCTGTAGACCCTACCTTAACCCACCAGAACCTAGTTTTTTGTAAGTTCCCTATAAATTCCCTTATTCAGGGTTTATAATAGGAACCTACCAAAAAAAGTGGGGCTTTGGTAGGTTACTTAAAGGATCATGGGACTTAGTAAGTAGGGTTATAACTAAGGTAACTATACTTATAACCCCAATCAAGGCGCTTATAACCTTACTTACTAAGTCCCATGATCCTCTAAACCCTAATCCCTAAACCCTAAACCCATGATCCTTTAAGTAACCTACGAAAAGTGGGTTTTGGTAGGAGGTACACCCCAAACCAAGGGGCAGGGACTTCTTCGACTTCAAGGTCGGCTGCCCCCAGCTCCGCACGCAGATGCCCTTGGCGCCCGATGGGAAATCCTGCGGCTGCTTGCTCGGGTTTAGGGTTTAGGGTTTAGGGTTTAGGGTTCAGAGTTTCAGCACTCACAGGTTGAGGGTTTTGGGGTTTAGGGGGGCCTCAACTCATTTAGGGGCGCCTCAACTCATGTCGGGGTGCCGAAACTCATTTTAGGGGGGCCCTCAACTCATTTAGCGGGGCCTCAACGATTAGGGTTGTTTTCCCTCTCGCACTGCAGAGCACGATGCTCACGCGCAGGTTGCTTAGGACAGAAAAGTCTTGCAGGAGACTTTCAACCATACGAGTAGTGTTGTCTAGGTGTTTTGCAAGCCTAAGCGGAATCACAAAAGCCCAATTAACCCCATCAAAACAAACGCCTCAGAACCCAGGACCTCAGCACATCAAGCCCACGATTGCATGGCATCTTGGTACTTAGAGAGAACGAAGAACTCTTGAGCCCGACGCTGAATTCAGGTGCTTCGAGTATCTAGGTGCCCGAAGTGAGCCGGTGAACCCCGAAACCTCATGTCCTTGGGAATGCGAACCTCAGCGGTGCCGCAGGCCACGTTGTCAAAAGTCCCCTCAGAGGAGCGGCGTCCCCACTTCCTCCGAGAGAGGGCCCTCAAGACAACTCTTTTTTTGAAACCGGACTTGATGACTGCCAAAGACAACCCTAAACCCTAAACCCTAAACGTTTCGGGCTGTAGGGGCCTGTAGGGCTAAGGTCTTCGGAGTGCGTTAGCTTGGGATTCTCATGTTTTGCAGGCTAGGCCTCGGACACGAGATTGACAGGACTAGACCCATAAGGGCTGTTCATCTCGTGGAAAGACGGATTCCGAGCCCTAGTTTGCTATACCTCTTCCCCAGAACGCATAAACCCACTCGAGTCTGCATTCTAAACCGAAAGCGGAAAATAAGGGGTAGCTTATGAAGAATCCTATGATTTAGGTCGACATTTCGGCTCGTGAAATCCTTTCTGTGACATAGTCGAGCGGGCATGTGTAGAAGATTCGATAGAGGAGGCCGTCAGCATGGCCGCCACTGTCCTCAAGAAAGGGCTGCGGGTTGGGCGCTTAATGGCTTAGCCGTTGTATGGCTGTTGTTTTTGCTGCCGCTGCTGTTGTTGCTGCTGTTGTCGTTGTCGTAGTCGCAGCAGCTGTTGTTGTTGTTGCTGCTGTTGTCGTTGTCGTAGTCTCAGCTGTTGTTGTTGTTGTTGTGGTTATTCTTCTTGCTGCTGTTACTGCTGCCGTTGCTGATGTTGGTATCGTTGTCGTTATCGTTGTCGTTGTTGTTGTGGTTGTGGTTCTGGTTGCTGTCGTTGTCGTTCTCGTTGTGGTTGTGGTTGTGCTTAATGTTGCTGTTGCTGCTGCTGTTAATGCTGTTGTTGCTGTTGCTGTTGCTGTTGTTGTTACTGTTGTTGTTGTTGATGTTGTTGTTATTGATGAAGTTGATGTTGTTGGTGGTGGTGGTGGTGGTGGTGGTGGTGGTGGTGGTGGTGGTGGTGATGGTGGCGGTGGTGTTTTGGTTGTTGTTTTGGTTGTTGGTGTCCTTGGTGGTGGTGTCGGTTGTTGTTGTTGTTGTTGTGGTTGTTGTTGTTGGTGGTGGTGGTGGTGGTGGTGGTGGTGGTGTAGTTGTTATTCTTGTTGTTGCTGATGTTGTTGTCGTTGTTGCTGTTGTTGTTGTTGTTGTTGTTGTTGTTGTTGTTGTTGGTTGTTTGTGGTTGTTGCTCCGTTGATGTTGTTGTTGTTGTTCCTGTTGCTGCTGCTGTTGTTGTTGCGTTGCAACTGCAGTTGCAGTTGCTGTTGTTGCTGTTGCTGTTGTTTCTGTTGCTGTTGCTGTTGCTGTTGTTTCTGTTGTCGTTGTCGCTGCTGCTGTTGCTGCTGTTGCTCTTGTTGTGGTTGGTGTCGTTGTTGTCGTTGTTGTTGGTGGTGATGGCGGTGGTTTTGTTGTTGTTGGTGGTGCTGCTGCTGCTGCTGCTGCTGCTTGTGGTGGTCGTGGTGGTGATTGTGGTGGTCGTGATGGTCGTGGTGGTGGTGGTGGTGGTGGTGGTGGTGGTGGTGGTGGTGTTGTTGGTGGTGATGGTGGTGTGATTCTGGTTGTGGTGGCGGTTGTTGCTGTTGTTGTTGTTGTTGTGGTTGTTGTTGTCGTTGTCGTTGTGGTTGTTGTTGTTTTTGGTAGTGGTGATGGTGTTCGTGCTGTTGTTGCTGTTGTTTGTTGTCGTTGGTGGTGGTGGTGGTGGTGGTGGTGGTGGTGGTGGTGGTGGTGGTGGCGGTGCTGGTGGTGATGGTGGTGGTAGTGGTGGTGGTGGTGGTGGTGGTGGTGGTGGTGCTGGTGCTGGTGGTGGTGGTGGTGGTGGTGGTGGTGGTGGTGGTATTGTTCTTGTTACTGTTATTGTTCTGGTTCTTGCTGTTGTTGTTACTGTTATTGTTCTCCTTGGTTGTTGAAGTTGTAGCTACATTGTAGTTATAATTGTCGTTGCTGATCGATGCCATGCTTAGTGCTGCACCCATGTCGCAAAAAGACTCAAAATGATCTTGTACCTCCTTCTTGGGTGCTAACTACACCAGCTATAGCCAGTACAACCACAGTGGTGAGAATGCGGGTTGTGAAATTGGAGGGAGATTACATGGCTGTGGCCTAAAACCTTTTCGTCGAAGTACAGCACGAGCTTCAGAACATGAACAGGCACGACATGTTTAAACCAATCAAACTGGATCGAAACATAGAGAACCTGCATAATGCAGAATTCCCCCCTAAACCCTAAACTGCCCTAAACCCTGCCTTAACCTACCAGAACCTATTTTTTGTAGGGACCCTATAAATCCCATATTAGGGTTTATAATAAGAGCCTACAAAAAAGTGGGGTTATGGTAGGTTAAGGTAAGCCTAAACCCTAAACCAGTCCTCGAGGTCCCTCTCCATGCCTTCGATCCGCATTGGCGGTCGCAGGTCAGTCCAAAAGTCGAAGCGCTGGCTCAGCTCCTGATGTCTCTCTTTCTTCATTGGGCATGGGGGATGTCTTAAATCCCCCGGCCTAGTGGCCCCCCATCTCTTATGGGGCTTTTTGAGGGGATGTGAGAGTTACGGGGTCCCTCTGATGTCTCTCTCTCTCTCTCTCTCTTTTTGGGGGCCGAAGGTAAAGCTAGGGTTTAGGGGTTAGGGGTTTAGGGTTGTGCAGGGTAGGGGTATTTCACCAGGTAGTACTCCATGCTGCACCAATGCGCGACGTGCGTTCTGCTGTTTATAGAAGCTGAACACTGCGACAGGCATACTGAACGCCCTCCTGTCTGAACCTGCATGTCAAGTCGAGCTGTACATCAAACAGGTTGGCATGTTGTCCAAAGTAACCTGGCGATTGTGATTATGTCACACAAACGGAACAAGCTTAGCTTGTCAGAATCGGTACAACAATTGCAGGAAAAACCAGGGGAGAACAAAATGACCCCCAGCACACTTAAACCACCTTGCGCAACGTTGCTCTGCAGACAAGAATATCCTATCTTTAGCATAGCAGAAGAAGTTAAAGCCCCACACAACAGCACGGCTTTTTCTCGAACAAAATTGCCCTGACGCTCCTTACCGGTCTTCGGGACCTGGGGTGCCGCCGCACGCAGACCACGCATGCGGTAGTAGGTCCTCGCGGATCGCTTTCCCTGGACTGAAGTGAAGAAGGCTCTGCTGGCTTGAGGATACAGCTGAGGGTTTTGGGCTTTTGGATTCGAGGTAAACCCTGGGTTTAGAACTAAGTCGGCAGCAATTCAGCTGTAGCCCACGTAGGCCACTTTAGGCAAGTCTATTCCGTCATTATGTCTCGCTACGTATTTCGATATAGGGCTGAGGATCCCCGGGATTTATTCTAAACCCTGCCCACAGCCTCCACCTCAGGCAGCCACATCCCCACTCCTTGCGAATTCTTGGCCACCCCCTTAAGCCGAAGTTCTGACCAATCCCTCGGTGTGCAATCCCGACCGCTGGCACCCCAAACCGTGAATGCTAAGACACGTTTAAGGGTTCACACCTCGTACAGGGGCTCCTTATCAAAAGGTCGAAACACCCTAAACCCGAAGTCCTACACCGTTTTCCTTGCAGGATCGAAAGCAAGGGGTCCAGGTCAGCTTGTGCTCCACAGCTGCCACGGACCGAACCGTGCGTTCCCGGCTCCAGTTGGGGACGCAGCCGTGGATGTACTCCTCAGCGAAAAGGCCAGGCAAGCCCCAACAGAGGAGCCTAAAGAGGAAATCTAAAACCTGTGCATGTATACCCATACCTGTCGTTGGGGACCGCCATTAGAGCTGCTTGGGGTAGCTGAAGTGCAATGGTAGCGGCAGGATTGGGGTCATCCTCTGCACGGCATGACGAAGAACATCGTGCATGCAATAAGCAAAAAACTACTCCTATAATTAGTGCCGGTATCATCCACACAAGCATGGAATGTTGCTGTGATCGTCATCATCCTTGTTATCGATATCATGTGTGATTTCTAAAAGTCCTGTTGTGATCATGTCATTACTATCACGATCCATGATGCACTATGGAAACGAATCACCTACACAGGAAGCCCTAGAACATTTACTAAGGCCCCCCTAAATTACTATATCATCCTACACCCCAAATACCCTAGACCCCTGAAGTGATGCACGATATACTTAAAGGATCATGGGACTCAGTAAGTAGGGTTATAACTAAGGTAACTATACGTATAACCCCAATTGAGGGACTTATAACCTTACTTGCTAAGTCCCATGATCCCCCGAACCCCTAAACCCTAAACCCTAAACCCTAAGTACTGAAGCCAGGTCTCGGCCCCGTCGTCCTGGTTCGTCCGCACCGGCTCTCCGTCCGAGCCCACGTCGCCCTCGCGCCAGGCACTGCCCAAGGGGGCCGCCTTGCTCTTGCTGCTCAGAAACTCCTGGAGGGGTTTAGGGTTTAGGGTTTAGGGTTTTGGGTTGGGGCTGGTGCATCTTAGGGGCTTTCGGGGTGAAGGGTTTGGCTTCTGGGGGTTGGGCTTTCAGCATTAGGATTTAGCCTTTGGGGCTTTGGCTTTAAACTTCCCGCGAAGGTTTAGGATGATGTACCGCAGGTTTAGATAGACAGGGAGCCAATACCCTTGTTGGAATTCAATACAGCATGCCACCAGCTTGAAAGACACAAGCCTTCGTTGAGAAGTACTGGGCTCTCTGGGTCAGGCCGTGGGTTCAGGATTTGGACGTTTGGACCTTTGGGCTGTGGGCCAGGGTTTAGGGTTTAGGGTTTAGGGTTTGGTGTAGGGCCCAGGGTTTACGACGACTGGAGGTAGGACTTTTTCTTTGGGGTGTAATGTATGAAAAGGGAGGCGGAATCACTAACGCCAGTTCTGGAATATTGGCCACCTAGACTGGCAAGGCTCTCCGCTGCTTCAAAGCCGAATCCCTCAACCCGAACCAGTCCCCCAAATCCTGAACGGCCGCGAATCACAGGGGAAGGATATTACAGTATGGCCCTCGTTTCTGCCCTGCGTGACCCTCGCCCGCCCCGCCATCGTCTCCTGTGTCGAACAGCTCCGGGAGGAGGAGGACATCGTCAAGGTCAGCTCGGCACTGGGCCTCCCCAGCCCCCCGACTGTTTGGGCAATGTGGGAGCCGGGATTGCTGAAATAGAAGTCGGGGCACATGTTGTGGAATGGAGGCCAAATGATATAGGAACCTGAATTACTGGAATAGGGTTGTGTACCTCTACATGGACTACACGGGAATACTATCTATTTGCTCCGACCCTGCAGTGTAACCCTAAACCCTAAACCCTAAACCCTAAACCCTAAACCCTAAACGTAGGGTGTGGGGCTTTGGGTGCGGGTGCGGGGTTTCCGTCGCTCCGGTAGACTCCAGGGGTCGAAGTCTTTCGGGTTTGGAGGGGGGCCTAGGCTTTACTTAGGGTTTAGGGTTTAGGGTTTAGGGCCTAGGCTTTACTTAGGGTTTAGGGTTTGGGGTGTAGGGTTTAGGGCCTAGGCTTTAGTCTTGAGCGTTTCGAGTTTAGGAAGGTAGCAGGAAACGTTGAAGCAGGGACGAACCGCAGAAGGCAGCTTCACTTCACAAGGGGCCGGACTCCGCTCGCTGTCTCTCTGTATAAAGGCCAAAGTCTCAAGCCTACAATGTGCCTAAACTTACTTCCCCAATAAGCCAGGAAAATAAAAGGTTAAACTTTCGGATTACTACTAAACTATAAGAGCCCACAAAGTTTAAAGGTTGGGTATTGGGGAACTAAGTAAACGCCTTACAGCAGAATCACACATCCCCCGGACCCCTGAACCTCCGACAAGAATCATGAAGAAAAGGGCGTCCTCCAGGAGGTAGACCGGCTCACGTACATCGCCGGGACGTGGGGAGAGAACATGGCCGGGAGCATCGGTGCTGACTGGACCTTTGATAAGGCGTGAAGGCGTAAAGTTTGTTTTAGGGCTTCGAGGGGCTCAGGGGATCTGCAGGTGAGCCTTGGGTTTCAAGGTCTTGGGAGGTTCAGGGCCGGGTTCGGGTGCTGGGCTGCTGGGCAGGGCTCTTGGAGGTTCTTGTGCACAAGAAGCCGCCAAGACCTCGCACGTGGGGCATTGGCCTCCCCAGGCTTTTTGAGGGACTGAGCGGCCAAGCTCAAATAATCGACATTGGCTGGAGGGCTGAAGGTTCAAGGGCAACGTTTTGCGAGGCTTCGCAAGTTTCCCGCGGCTTTTCTATGCAAGCTCTCGTAGGGGGATACAAGGAGGCCTGTATGGAAAAGCCTCGTGTCCCATAGCTTGCAGGAATTGCCCTGTGCTAACGGCGACATGAACCCGCGAAGCCCCGAAAAGCTTGAGACACCAAGCCGCATGCTCGTTGCACCCAAAAGCCTCCAGAGCCGAAACTGAACCCCCCAAAAACCCTAAAACTTTGAAGATCGATTAATCCCACATTGCTCACACCCTGAACGGCCGGCCAACTCTACCACCCTGCCCTGAAACCCCCAACCTAAAGCACCTCACCCAAAAAGCCGTGACCCCCAAGAGCCCCTGCTACTGAAGTGGCCAGGGAGCATTGCTCAGCCGTGCCTTCTGCCCTCGTGCGTGGGCATTGGCCATCAGGGTCGGAACTCGCGCCTGACAAGATTTAGAAGTTCAGAGAAGCCCTTCGGCACTTCAAGGTGTCAGCAACATCCTGTGATATCCTTATAAGCGCAGTTAGGCTTCAATCATCCCAATATTCATGTGGAAACTCGAATCACCAGCCAAAGCTGCGTCGAAGTGCTTTTTGGAGGGTGTTTGCAACGAGGGTGTCTTGGCGCAGTGCGCAATGGTGTCCGGGACCAGGGTGGGAGGTTTAAAGTAGGGGCCTTAATAATTATAATAGAGTTTTGGGGTGTATTATACTCTAATCATCATAAGGAACCCCCAAACATAATATATTGTTGTTTATTCCGGTGGTGCAAAGTCCGTCGCGCATGTACCGCTAAAAAAAATAACGTAGGTAATTCTTAAGACCCCTACATTAAGGGTTCAGAGATAAAGGCCAAGGCCCGGCTCGGACTGCGGAGAGAGGCACGGCGGCACGTAGGGTGCGCCACTTACGTAGACCCCCAAAGTGGATCCCAGCCAAAGGGGCCCCGAAGTCTCAGAGAGGAGATTTTGTGGAATGATGCTTGGATGGCGTCCTTGTACAATGATGTCACAATATGTAGACATGTATATGATATATATATATATATACACAAAAGAACATGTCATTCCTCGGCTAAGTCTTATCCCACCTTTCCGGCACTCACTCTACACTCCAAAGTCTGCAGCGCGTCCGGGCTTGGATTCTTAGGATGATGTCGGGCTCAAGATGCCTCAATTGACGTCACTGAAGCAAACTCCGGCGATGTGCCCCTGATGCCCAACCAAGATTCAAGCACATCCTGGGAGTTCATAGACGGTACCCACTCGCTGAAACTGAGACACTTCGGCACCGTCGTTTGATCTTGGCCGGGAAGATTGTGAAATTAGGAACAGCCTAAAGATCCTTTTTTTTGGAGGCTCTACTCATAGTTATAGTTGCTCTGATCCAGGCTCGGGCCTGCGTCGGGATCTTCAGCTCGATCTTCCTGCGCCACAGCATCTTTGAGCTGATTTTTCGAGAGATGCCCTCAAAAAAACCCGAAAAAAATGCCCTCGGGCCCTCCCTCAAAAAGCGACCCCCAACACCGAAATTTCATTTAGGGTTTAGGGTTTAGGGTTTAGGGTTTAGGGTCAATAAAAACAACGTACCCAGCGTGCTGAATTAGGAGAAAAGCGTCTTCGCCGGCGCGGGCGGCTCCGGGGAGGCCGGCGTGGAAGGAGTTGGCGCCACGTCATCGTAGATGCCCTCGGAGGGCGCCTGGAAATGACACACACATACCATACCCGCCTGCTCGAGACGCCTAACCTAGGCCCCAACTAAACCCAAAATACTGTCTCGGGCGCAAGAAACTCGCTTGATCGATTTAGGCTTGACTGCAAGTCTTTCCGAGCTGAGGTTTCGTGTACGCCTTCACGCATGACTCTACTTTGCTGCATCGCTCACGAGGCCCAGTCCTGCTCAGACACTCCAGCATCTGGCGAATCCTGTGCTTTGGGCATGGAGCTGCAAGGGAGCAGAGGGTTGCGAGTCACTAGCCGGGGTCTCCGATCATAGGGGTCTCGACAGGTTGTCGGGAGGCTAGACCGAGGGCTCTTGTGCCGCATGTTCTTTGAAACCCTGTGGGCATCCTGAGGCGGGAGCTGAGATACAAGCAATTTCTGAGCCTCTGCTTCAAAGCGGTTCACAACCTTCTCCTCTAGACTCCACGGGGACGGTCACAATCAGGAAGGCCTCTATCATAGCTCTGCCCCTGTAGTCAAAAGCCTATGTTGACCCAGCGAAGCATTGAAGCGCCTCTCGCACTCCGTAAAGGGAGCTGGCAGTTTAGGCTTCGGGTTTACACCTCGGGCTCAGGGTTTTCACATTGACACTCGGGTTCCGAGATCAGGGCTCAAGCAACTCAGGCATCTGAGAGCTTGGTCTTGCAACAGGCTTGACGAACCGTTGCAGGCTGCAGTCCCCTCCCCTCCTGCACCGCGACGAAGACGCACCGAAACGAAGACGAGTGAAGCAAACAACAAGTCCAGACTCCAAACCTACTACGTACTATGGGGCCCATAATGATGAGAATTAGGGTTTGGGGGTATATCCTGGTAAGAGTATTTGGGGCTGTAAGGCCAAGGCGACCTTGCTACACATCGCTCGGACCACGACATCATAATTTATCAGTCATATCAGTCATCAGCAGTGAAACCCTAAACCCTAAAC